ATAAATATACTACTTTATTTATTCCCTATTGGTGCTACCTAAGTATTTTTTGTTAAGAATTTTAAAGCATTAATTGTATTATTTGTATTTAAATTTAATTTTTATTAAAGTTTCTTAATCTTGTAATATTTTTATAAATTTTATATATTCTTAATATATTAATTTTTATATTTTCAATATATTTATAATACTTACTTAATTGTTGTTTTTATTTTATGAAAGACATATTGCAACGTTTTTTTTACATAAAAGTTTTTATAGAAAATATTTAATAATGTTAATATAAGTTAAATAATAATAAAAATAAAAATTGTAATTGATTCTACTTTAATTTTTACGAATTTATTAATTTTTACAATTTATAAATTTAAAGAAATTTGCGGGAATGGATGATAAATGTCGGACCAATCACAAACCGGGGAGAAGGTGGCCAGACTCTTATTAGAGGGTCACTAAGTTGTACAAAATAAGTTTACATTCCTTATTTTTTTTAAATAATTAAAAATAATTGTACAATAATATACATATATTAATAGTTATTTTATATGTTGAGAAGAGATAGTTTCTCAAATACGATTATACTGTAAATTAAAAATAATAATTAATATAACAAATATACCGTTCATGGAAGGAGGAGACATGGTTTCTCCAGGTGGCGGGGGTGGCGGTGGCAGGGTATCCCTGCCGGTGCTCATGGATCTTCCCCTAGTGGGAGTATTGTTAGCGGATGCTACTGTGGGTGTAGAATTGCTGGAAGCGTTGCTCGGCGGCGCCGGTGGCGGTTGCGATGGTCGTGACCTACCGCCCCGACTCGGAGTACTCTGACCGCCAGGACTTTGATACGCGTCGCTACCGATCGGTGCCTGACCCGAGGCGTAATGCGAGCCGTATGGATTGTCATCGTAGCCCTGAGTCATATAGTTCGTTCCCCTATAACGAGAGAACATTATCAATTATGCGTAAAGATATAAACCTTTAAATTCTATAGTATAAAAGAATTTAAAGAGTCCATAGTACTAGGAAAGTAAAGTAAAAGCATAGAATAAAAAGTATTCTGATTATTAATATACATATTATTATCGACTATCTATAATTATTTAAAATTATCAATTATATTATTATTATTATTATTATTATTATTATTATTGTCATATCGATATTTTCACCTATAGTGATCGGAAGACGGCGGGCTGTAAAGATGCTGCTCTTCTGGAGGGTAGCTTCGTCGTAGTTCGATGCTGTTGGGCCTGGGTGGCCTGGGATCCGTCATTACCATTCCCAACAACGCATCATCGGGTTGTACATTGTGTGGCGCCCTGTACTGCACTGCTTGCGTCGGCATGATGTATTCGCCATGGCCAACAGCCAGTTGCCGTTGTCGTTCCCTCGTATTATGTGGTTGCCTTACACGCTTCTTATGCCTGCCACCACCTCCACCGCCACCCTCATTCCGAGGCCTGTGCGGCTGTTTCGCGAAAAAAAATACGATTTAATATGCATAACGCGCAAGAGAAAACGAACAAGGTGCATCGCATGTAAGTCAAGCACAATCGGTTTAATTCAAGAACATCCCGACGATTGATCCAGTAATTGGAGACATTTTTAACAATAAATTTTAGAGTTCCAATTGGAGAAGAAAAGAAGTTATTTTAAAATTATTTAAAAGCGATATTATCGTTTCTAAACCAAATCAGAATTTACTGGATCAATAGTTAAGAAGGACATAAATGTATATGTGTAAAAAAAAAATAAAAGTGGAGCCCCACAAAATTATCATTTGTTAATTTTACAACAAAAATTCATTATCATAAGAAAAAAAAAGAAAAATATTCTTCCTATTCACGGCAACACTTTTATTTTCTATGTGACACATGATAAAGTGGAGATGAGATAATCCTGAAATGAACGATGAAACGATCAAGATCGTGAAAGGGTATCGGTATCGATCGAAGATGAATCGGAGGATGATGAGTATAACGCAGTTCTAAAAAGTACATTCAAAACTTGCATGAAAATTGCAAAGAACGACATTACATAAGTGATCCACAAAGTGACGGTAGGTGTGAGAGATTTGTTTTGAGTATATCAAAAAACACATCTTAGTTTTCGGAAAGGATAGGAAGGGCCTCGAATCAAGATTTGCGTAGATGGAATTTTTGCTTCTTTTCTTTTCGATCTCGTCATCGAAAAGGTCAACAAACTTAGGTTCCGACAATGAAGTCTATTTACATTCGATCTACGCAAAGTGAATGTCGCCACTGAGAAAACGTGACTATTAGCACAACTACAAAACTTCGAGAAAGCGAGCATCTAGCGTCAGTCTCTATATCAGCGCGCAAAAAGGTCGGTTAATGAAAGAAAAACCACAAAGAGGGTGATTATGCGATGAGAGTGAAGTGGCGATCGATCGATTCACTGAAATACTATTGGATGTTTTATAAGAGGGATAAGAGAGATTAAAAAGAAACTACAAAGATCCAAACCATCGACTTGCCTCTCTGAACGGTTCGGCATATTCAGACTCGCTCTACAACGAAGGGGACAGTAATTCAATAGTTAGAATCGCAGTATTAGACAGGTTAAGTAATCATATGATTCCAATTTGATCTATAAATCCGCGCACCTCGACAACTTCAAAGATCAAAGATCAATTAAACTTGACTGATTCATAATTAGATTTAGAAAACGATACAGTACGGATATTAAATAATACAATAGTTATCGAGATGCGTCTTAGAGTGCATTATTCTGCAAGGATTCTTACCTTCTTTCCTCGATCATGTAATTTCTTTTCCGTGTCTTTGAGCATTTCCTGACTCCATAGGTCGAAGAAGTAATTCGGATCGGTGTAGAATTTCAAACCATCCTTGCCATCCTCCCTGAAGACAATAGTTAATGTTTCAATTATTACCGTATTAAATTATTGAAACTGATGAAAATGAACTGACGCCGCTAATTACCTGTAAATATTAAGTTTGTCTAGGGGCGGTGGCGTGTCACATTGATGATACGTTTCCAGCATCGCCGTCGGCATGGTGTCTCTAGAGACGACTTGCTGATCGAACACCACAGAACTTTTGAAGGCTTTCCTCATGTGTATATCTTGCAATGAGACTGCACAGAAAATAAGAACTTAACATCATTTAAATCTTCATTTTCATAACTTTAGTATTATATCTCTCTTTTAATTATTTCGTATCACAGTTAGCTGGACAAATTGAAACAAGCACGTTTTACGTACCTTCCTCAACATTACTATCCAATTGGGTAACCTTGACAGCTAAACGATCTATCCTAGCCTGCAGGGAATTCGCTCGATCGCTCAATCCGTGCGCTTCTCTTGCCAACTCGCCGAAGAGATCCTCGGCATGCCTCGACAAGCTAGATAGTTGTCTGATAGTGTTGGCCAAGGTGCCATTGGTGGCCGCCTCGAGTTCCGATGGCAGCGGGAAGTCCTCAGGGATAGTGCCACGTGCTACATGAACAGGCTCTACCAATCGCTTCGGGAGCGGCATTTTCGACTTGCCGGCTTGTACCTCCTGATTCCTCTTTGCGGTAATTCACTCACCGTTCTCTTGAGACCTGAAACCATTCAAGACTATCATCAGAAATCAATTATCAAAGCCCAAATGTCTTCAAGAAATTATCAGATTAGAGCTCAAATATACTTTGATAATAATTACATATACTAATTAAGTGTTTAGATAGCTGTAATTTTATACTGTGATATAAGAAATATTTGAAAAAAATTTTAATAAAGTAGCATAAAAAAAATTTAATAATAATAAATATTTATATGGTCTAAATATAAAGTTCTCGGATTGTAGCAATAAAAAAAACAACATCTTAGATAACAAAATGCTACATTTTGTGTTTCAAAGGAAGTCCCTTGTGACATCTAATACACGCTTCATGCATCTTTGATACAAAGCCTTGAAACTCTTTTTTAAAGTCCATAGTTGAAATGCTGTTTGGAGCACTTGTCGCATTCCTTTACCTGAAAAGATTTATTTTTCATAATATTTTTACATTTTGGGAATAGCACAAGATCCGAGAGAGCCAGAATATGTCAAGAAAGCTGCATAACGACGTCCCTGCATCCAAGGGAATAATATCATAAAACAGTTTTTGGCAAGAAAGCAGTTATTGAGATTAGCTACCCATTTTATTCATCGAATTTAGTCCTTTTGGATTTCATGCTGTTCCTAAAGTGCAAAATAGATAAATATTTTCGACGTCGAGGAGATCTAAAGGAATATGACAAGTATTCTGAACAGCATTCCAAGTATATGGCTTTAAAAAAAGTTTTGAGGCTTTATATCAAAGATATATAATAGAAGATTACTTTGAAAGATAAAATATAATATTTTGTTATCTGAGATGTCTTTACTTTTGTATTTCAACAGTTCGAGAACTACGTATATTGTCAGACTATATACTTTCAAAAATATAGTTGTGATATTTTTATCAACAATCTCGATTAATTTCGGAATAATTCAATAAGATTTTATTGCATTTGTTATAATATTGTTTCAAATGCGTTTGAGAATCAAATAAAATTTTTTTTCACATAAATTTGAATTATTCAAGGCGTGATATTCACGAATAATTATAGAGAAAAGTTCAATAACGTGAAACACTCGTGCGGCTTAAAATCCCGAGGATTTTAAGCCGCAAAATCCCTAACAAGATGAATGTTTGATTCATCCAGGGACATCCCTTTGACCCAGCCCTTGTTACAACCGACAGTATGTAAATAATGGAAGAGATTGAGTGAGACAAATTGCAAAAATTACGTAAATCTTAGATATAGTCATATAAATACATGAAATACACGAAGTTCAATTTGAAAAATTCTTATCGTTTATTTTTTCTCTTATCTTACTGACTCATCATAGTTTACCACGATTCTCATAAGTGCGTGTTGTGCTGCGGATTTCGCATACGTACACAACGGTACACACACATTGCGTAATTGCGGTCATAAGTGATAACAATAATATCTTATCGCACGCTGACTGCTATTAGCAAGGTGGCTGTATTGATCGCCGTTTTTTATCCGACCGCGAGTTTGTGAGTAACAAGCGATTTTTATACCAATATGTAATGTAATCGAGCATTAATTCACCATTAAATCAAATTACATTACGATTATGCTTTAAAAAAGAGCTGCATTTCCAAGTTATATATTTTTTATTCTTCTAGTAAAAACAAGGTTTGTTTGTTACAATTATAATAATAACTATGTAAAATTATTTTATAAGTTTTAAATTTTTAGAATCTTAAAAATTTTAAGTTTAAAAAGTTTTATAATAATTATTTCATAATTGTGTGCTTATTAACCTTCGTTATTGTTTTGTAAAATCAAAGCAAGGTTTATCTTTTTTATGAGTTCTACTTTTAGAATAATGAAGTAATGTATAACAGGCAATGCCGATATAATGCTGATATAATGGCCTTATTAACAAACATCGTTTGAACTATCTATCAGGGTCAAGAATATGACCGTGACCAAACACGGCTTTGACGTTGACGACAAAGTCGTAACAATATGCGTATCGCTATTGTACTTCGTAATTAGCAATTAGCTGCCATAAAACGAGCGAATAGAGCTATTCCGCCGGATGTTGCACCTGCGAGAAGAACTGAGAAAAGCCTCCGACACAGCTAATAATATTCTTTTGAAAGTAGTCCGAAAGCATATATGACCTATTTTTCATACCTCATTATTAGCTTCTATATTTCTTTTTATCAATCATGACGAAATTACGTTGTTGATTGAATACTAAAACAAATTACGAATGTAAAAGTTTCTATTTAAACATAATTATATAAAAGTTGTCTCATCTTGAAACTCCGATAATAAGTTATCCGGAAATAGTACCTGAGAGTAATAATTCATTAAACAAAAAAAATAATAATTCAATAAAAGACTATAAGCCATTTAAAATAGTTACTTTATTTATAAATCACACAGTAGGTGATATCGAAAACAATATAATGCCACGGTCGATCCTCATGGTGCAGTTCAATCGACCATGTAGGCACGACCGTGAGTCACCATAGTCTTTACCCCTTGTCATTTATCTGTATTTCATTAGGCTCCCACGCAGTCAAACAGTCATTTAACCATGGAACATAAACCAGACACAGAACGGGATTAATAATACACGACTCATTTCGCGACCGTTGAATTGAGAAAACCAGATCATATAATAAAATTGCATAACGAATAATTTGTCAGCGTTACAAAATATTATATATGGAATATACTAAAGTAATGTTTCGCGAAAAATACATAATAACTATTTCCGGATTATACATATACTTACTTAATGTGAAAATACGAGACGCAATCTTCGTAACCAGCGAGTTGCAGTTACGTAATTGCGATTATCAAATTTATCGCTGATTCATGCGGCTTCCCGGTGTGCAATTAGAAAGTTGCAATTATACGTTAAAATATGTTAACATACGTATTATAAATTCGTTTCGATTAAACTAAACGTCAAAGTTGAAAATTATTTCGATGATATCGCTGGCATATCGATACTGAATGTAAGCTCTGGAAAGCTAATATTTTATCTCCGCGTATCAGTGCACCGTGTATCGGTGTGCATTTAAATGCTTCCTGCTTGCTTGCTAATGCAAAACCAGTGCTTATGGTATTCAGATAGGTATCAGTCTGTTAAACTTAAGCATTCGTGCTAACAGGAATCGAGTGCGGTGAGATTCTCGCGTGCGTCTCGTTGTGAATGAAACCGCAGACACGCTGCCGCATGCAGCAAGCTTGCATAAGGTAGAGGCAGTATCCTGAGGCTGAAAGGTCACTACTACGCCACGGTAAGACATATGAGTACTCGTTGCTGCTACTACTACTACTACTACTCTACTACTATTACTATCCACCCGGCAAGTAAAAACCGGAAAGACTTACTCGCTCTTCGCAACGTGTCTGTCGGTTGTCCGCATTGCACCTATTTTAGAGTTGCATTCAATCGCGACTGCATCTGCAGCGACATTAACTATATCGCGATACCATCGCTCGAAGTGTCGAATAAACAAATTCCACGTCGACTCTCGCTCGGAATCTCGAAATAAATAATACATTTGTTCTTTGTCGCTGTTCTGTACACTGCAGTAAAATTTTCTATCTTACTTTCGCTAAACTCCAAACGCTGTTTCATTTTAATCGCGTACAACGCATTGCATCAATTATTATATAATAAATGAGATTCTTTAAACTTATAAATGATTTGGCATAATAATTATCAGTTGTAACAAATAAGCCTTAATTTCTTTAGGAAAATCGATAAAAATATATAATTGATATGCGGCTCTTAAATTTCATACATTTTTTATAAATACATACATAATTTACATAATCTATAATTGCCATGTACACAGAACGATATAGATAATTTTATGTAATCGTGATATAACGCAACAATGTATGTACAAGTGTATACTAATTCAACCAAAAGAACATAATTGTTCAATGATATTTTCATCGCAACTTTTTTATTCATAATCTTGTTCCTAAATTATATATTTTGAAATTTATTTTATCAACGTGTGTGAATATAAAGAAAAAACATTCATTTAAACAGTAAAAGTAACCCACATTTTATGGAAAACTCGTAAAAGAAGCAATTTCTTTATCTCTCTTAGAAGAACATAAACCGGGCATAAATCACGTGCAACTTTTAGAGTCGTTACAGTCTTGTAAATCCTTGCAATACAAATCTATCTGTAATGCCAACAAATTGTCGAAGGAGTTTTTCAATGACTTGTAATAAAATGAACCGAATTGCTCAATCTGTTTTAAATTCGCTCGACAATGGTAAACGACAAGTGACAATGACTAAGACGCGACGCTGATTCCACCGATTATTCACACTCGTTCGCGGCTGCATCCTGGTGCACACGTGCGGCTGTTAGAGCAGAGAATGCACATGTCGACCATATGGTCACGCATAAAACAAGTTCGTGTACGCAAGAAGTACAAGGTCACTACCCCCTGCGCACGAATCGATGCAATATTCTGTATAACTTTAACAGTAGATATCTCTCCGAGATTATCACTTGCTCCCTCCCCGCTTGCCTTGTGTGCGCGAGGGAAAAGTTGCCCAATAATTTACAAGCTAATCTCACTTTTTCCAAGAAATTTTTTTGAAAACGATGAATAATATTTAACGTTGAAAAAAAATAATATCGATTTATAAAATAAATGTAAATTATTAACTATACAAAAATGAGATAATCGCTGCTTTTATTTCCTACTTTTATTTTTACTAGTTTCTATTCTCGTCTCGCACTATTATTTATGAAAATATGTACATCGTCGCGCTTCATAAAATCTCGCGCAGTGGAACAGTCTGCGGGAAATCTCCGCGTCATTTTAGTCGTTCAGTATGTTTATCAAGGAGACGCGCATTCCGACGCATTAGAGCCAAGACGATATCGAGCGATCGAATGGCGTAATCCGACTTAGGCATCGTCGCCGACAACAAAG